CTTAATGATTGTCCTGAACTTAGGTGGCCGTTTTGCTTCTGAGTCAGCAACGAGTCGTGCTTGGTCTTCTGACCCTGCAGCACAGGCTTCTGCGGTTTAGCCCGCAGCGTCACCACGTCCCTTCGTGGACAAGTAGCCTCCTAAAATGTGGAGTTTTACCATTCCTTAAAATTTTTTTGCACCATCATTTTATATTTTCTAACGTTCTGCACAAAACAATTATGCCGTTCTTTCCCATCTAGGATGGACACGCATGCAAGTGTCCCCCAGGCTGTTTGCAGCTCAGTGTCCACCCTAAATCCCAGCCTTGTGTCTGCCAAGTGCCTCGGTCGGCCAGCCAAGTGTCAGACCACCAAGGAACTTAATGATTGTCCTGAACTTAGGTGGCCGTTTTGCTTCTGAGTCAGCAACGAGTCGTCAAACCAAAGAATTGTTTTGGAAGGACACAGAAACAGAAGTTGGCATTCTTTGAAGAAGCCAATTAAAAAAACCCCAACAACCAGTATCCCCATCACTTGCACCAGATGTCATTCTTCAGTATCAGGGTTACTAACTCCAGTGTCTTGACTCAAATCCAGTTTTGGCATCTATAATCTGATTTGGTAATTTAAGTCAATAATAGTGGCTCAGTGTAAACAAAATATTCATCATCTTTTGCCATCAGTGGTTATTTTTCAATGCATTAATTTACAGATTCTGGATTGCCTGTTGTCCAACAGGCAATAGACTTTTCAAGCTACTTTTAAATTTGTGTTGTACTCCTGAGTTTTGTTATACTTTGTGCTTATAATATAGGTTTTTCTTTGTTCTGAGTGGATAACGTTGTCACAGACTTTTTCTCCTGGCCACATTTTGAGACACAGTCAACCTTACTATTAGGTCGACGACAAGTGATCTCCATAGGTCCAGGGGCTGTTTGTACCCAACCTTGGAGAGCCACACCTGTTCCTGCTATCACCCCCCCCCATATTTTATTACAAACTGGGGTTTAAAACAGTAGGAGCTCCTTTGTACCCGCTAGTGACTGAATGTACAAAAAAGGTTTGGAGTTTGGAGGGAATCCAGAACATGGCCAAATGACCCTCACATTCTGCAAAAGCACAAAGTAACTTTTCAAGTTAAAATATTTATTGTTCTCAGTTTCTCTGTTTATTTTTCTCCATTGGGGAGTATGGGCCTGCTCGGGGCCAAATGTGGGCCATACGTTGCCCAGCTCTGAATTAGGGAAGCATGGCACCATATTCTGGAGTGGGAAAAAGCAACAAGGTGTTACAGGGCAGAGCTATGTGGCTGTGACAGTTCTCCTGCACCCCTTAAGTTATTGATCTCTCCTCAAGTGCCGTGGAGGATCCTGTGCCATCACCAAAACAGAATTAAGATTCAGCTAATTGTCAACCCAGTTTATAGCTTCTATATATAGATCGAGTGCCATCTTGTCTTGAAGCCATTTCAAAGATTCCAACAAAGGTGAAACATTCAATGAGAATAAAAAAATAAACAACAATAAAATAAAGAACAACAAAGGAGTAAATCCCAACCAGAGTAGATCCACTGAATAAATGTACTTCTTAAAAGTGTGCTTTATTTAACTTGATGCTTGTTTGTTTTATCTTGCCTTAACCTGCCCAGAATAATGCATTGCACTACTGGGGTAGTATATAAATTGAAGAAATAAATAAATAATAATGAGTAAATCAACACTTATGAAAGTCCCATTAATTCAGCAGATCTACTCTAGTTGGGACTGAATACTAGGTCTAGCCCAAAGGCCAGAATCCTCTTGAATCTTTTGAATATAAGCAGGCAATCCTGCAAGGGAGCCTAATTTTGTTTATATCTGTTTACCAAGCTCCTCTTCTTCCTTGGGTTGAGAAAGCAGTCAAATGCCAAGTTACTTGCTTGGCCACGTACTGGATGGCAAACAAAGAAGGGAAAGCCACTTCACAGTTGCTATTATATGCACAGTTCTTTTCAACAGGATTCTAGCCAGTTTGAGCAATTTAAGTAAAATCTGCCAGGGAAAATATATCCCACTGAGGACACAGAGAAAACACTGACATAATCTATTAGTAAATTTGTGGTAGAAGCACAGTAGTTATTATCTCTTCCCAAAATTTCATATTCTGTTGCGAACACAAGAGAGCTGAAGACATGCAAAGTTGACGCAGTTTTTTCATGACAAGAACTTGTCATCAAATGTCAGAAACGGTGTGTGTTTCAGACATTCTCACCAGAATTTGGAAAAAGTGTGTTTTTAGATTACATTTCTAAGGACGTTCGAGTGAGCATGGGCAGTTATTCTGGGCGTTATAGTCCAATTTCCTTTCTAATGTTGGGAAATGCCCAATGTACTTTGATAGGAGAGAGTTGTTTTGTTCTGAGATGATATCCACCATTCCTGGGAGCAACCCAGGAAAGGGTTGTTGTTTGTGTTAATCTGGTAGGTTTCCTGGAACTACCGGACTGGCTGGGCCTGGCCCAAGATATTTTATTTCCTGCTGTAAAATATGAGATCCTTCCCTTCAGTCCATTGGGTTGGCAGTGGAATCAGTACAACAGCATCCTCCCAAATACCAAGGGGGCACAGGGTGATTTAGGAGGTGTGGGGCAGCTTGTACGTCTCACATAGCTCAGTTCTCTAAGAGAAGGGAATGGTTCGGGGTATTTTATTTTATTTATACGCCACATTTCTCATCCTATAGGCCTCAAAGAACAATATTAAAAACCACTATTTAAAAACACTTTAAAATATACATTCCTGAAACCACTAAATACAGCATTCCACAATACAGCCCCCACTTGCCCAAGCCAATTAAAAGTCTCCATAAAGAGGATGGTCCTTCTGGCAACAGAAGCACAAGAGCAAGGGGGCCAACCTGACTTCCAAAAGGGATGCATTTCATAACCTGGGAGCAGCCACTGAAAAGTCCCTTTTTTGCATCCTCACCAAAAAATCATGTGAGGGTGGTGGGACTGAGAGAAGGGCCTCCCCAGAAAACCTTAAAAGCCAGGGTATCTCATATGGGGTGATACAGTCTTTCCACATTTGCCTTTCTCTGCCAAGGAGGGCAAGGCATAGTGTCCCATCTGTAAGAAATAGATGGGAAACTAGATACTAGATTTTTGTTTAATCTAACTGGGCTCTTATGCTATTGAGGATTCAACATACAGTATTCTTGTGAGCAGCAGCAGCATTCCTTCCTGTGTGTTTTTTGTGAATGCAGGTTGCATCAGACAATGATTGGCCATTGGACAGAGTAAGGCAGTTATTTCAAGCAGCTATTTTACCATGTCCTGAAAATTGATATCTATTCATTAATCTTGTTATTGTCTTTGTTCAATGACAGAAAGGAGGAATGATGGCAGTGGGCTGTTCTGTTTCCTGTCAAAACGCCTTAATTTCCTGGTTTTGTATACCTAGTACCTTGATTTTGATAGGTGGGGATACCATTTACTCCTCTTCTTCTGCCAACCTCATCACTGGCTAAAACATATTTTTTTTGCCTTAACTTTCTTTGCATTGAAATATTCATTCATTCATTCATTCATTCATTCATTCCATTCATTCATTCATTCATTCATTCATAATATTTTTACACCACCTTTCTCCATAAAAGAACTCAAGGTGACTTACATCATTAAAAGAGACAAATTACAAACAATAAATTATTCAAATATTTTTAAAAGAACTAAATATGCACTATAGTATGTTAAAGAAAAGCATTATTAAAGCAACAAAACACGAATCATCCCAATTTTAAAACCCAGACAGCCAATCATAAGAGAAAGCTTGCCTGACGAGAAAGGTCTTCACCTGTTTGCTGAAGGAGTGCAAAGGTGAGGCCAGCATGGCCTCCCATAGGAAGGAGTTCCACAGTCTGGGAGCAGTGACAGAGAAGGCCCTCTCTCTTGTCTCCACTAAATGAAAAAAAAAAAGAATGCTGCTTATACATTGCCCCATGGTGCTTAAAGCACTCTCTGGGCAGTTTACAAATTAGTTATGCAGGCTACACATTGCCCCCCCCCCAAGTGAGCTGGGAACTCATTTTACTGACCTTGGAAGGATGGAAGGCTGAGTCAACCTTGAGTTGACTACCTGGGATTGAACCCCGGGTCCTGAGCACAGTTTTGGCTTCAGTACAGCAGTTTAATCACTATGCTACAAGGCTCCTTGTGCAGGTAATGGGACTGACGGGAAGCCCTCCCTTGATTATCTTACCACCTGGATAGGCTCATAAAGGGAAATAATATATGTGAAATGCAACACAGAAATACCCACTATGGAAATGCTTAATGTGTTGTGAATTGCCTGGGGAAGCCCTCCCTTGATTATCTTAACACCTGGATAGGCTCATAAAGGGTAATAATATATGTGAAATGCTTTGAACCAATACAGAAATACCCACTGTGGAAATGCTTAATGTGTTGTGAATTGCCTTATGAAAGAAACATACCAATATCTATTTTTTCTGCAATTTCTGTATATCCGAAGCAGTTATTTATAAGGGGGGAAATCAAGCACAAAATTGTCTTTTCGACACCTGGGCCCACTATAATCCATTTTCAATTGAATTAAGCCTCTAATACTTCACTTGTTTGTATAATATTTGGGAGAAGGAAAGGAAGAAATCCGTCTCTACTTACTGGTGATCCTCCCTCCCTCCCTCCCACAAAATAAAACCTTTATAAAATCCAACTAATGTTCCCAATATTTAGTTTAATTTAAATCTAGACCATTATTATACAGCTCAGAATCCAAGCCTATTCATCTCTGGCTCAACCCTTCAATTAAGCGGAATGATCCAAAACTCTGGGCACTAAAATGGCACAGTATATTTATAAATGAAATCTGTGACTAGAAAAATGTTGAAGTTTGGAGATTTCCTGGTCAGAGTCCACTTGGTGACATCATCCTAGGGAAGTAGTGATTGGCTACTACGGGTAAAAATAGTGCTTATATCCCAGTAGGATGACCAAGGACAAACAGATGAACTGTTAAATCTCTGTCCCTCGACTCCTTGGAGACCAGCCTTTAACTTCAGGACTGCAAGCTGGTAAGTTATTGACTGCCAAGTGTATTTGATTCTATACAAGTATCAGACTTTCTCACCCTGCTTCTAGTCCATAGATTTCTGAATTTCAGATTCTGTGTTGAGGTAATCTGTGTTTCAGTTTGCCTGTGAGAGTTTATATCAAGAGTATAGTGCTTATTATTTAAAGCAGAACATTTCACTAGTAAGCAATATCTACCTTGCATTTGTAACTCATTTTGAATGAATGGAATAAAATTGGATCAGTACAGAACTTTGGCTGGGCTTTATTTTGCAGCATTTCTTGTAGGACTGAGGAAAAGAGAAGACATCCACAACTGTTATTTGGCAGATAATCTAGTTCAGTATTGTAAATGTATACAAATAAGTAGAGTAACAACTGCCCAATTTATTCACGGTTGTGTGTTTGTGTTCAGAGGACTCTACCTATACCTATTCTCTCAGCACTGGCTGGGATGAGCCAAGAAGGGAAATCTTTATCATTATGCTACAGATAGGCTGAGGTTGATAGATACTAATGGTTGTTGTGGGTTTTTTGGGCTCTTTGGCCGTGTTCTGAAGGTTTTTCTTCCTGACGTTTCGCCAGTCTCTGTGGCCGTCAACTTCAGAGGAAAGGAGTAGGAACTCTGTCCATGCTCAGAGTCCAGAGCTTCAGAGGACTGGAGTAGGAACTCTGTCCATGCTCAGCATGGACAGAGTTCCTACTCCAGTCCTTTGAAAATGCCGGCCACAGAGACTGGCGAAACTTCAGGAAGAACAACCTTCAGAACACGGCCAAAGAGCCTGGAAAACCCACAACAACCATTGAAAGCCTTCACGAATACACTGATAGATACTATCTTTCCTAGATTCAACTTGAAGGATATTACTGGACTGCAACTCCCACTGACCTTAACCAGCATCACCAATGATAATGAAGTATGGGAGTTGCAGTGCAACAATATTTTGAATGTCACTCATTTTCCGTCCCTATTATACAGGCTATGTGCCATTTATATGCCATAAATTCACTATAATACCTCAAATGAAGCAGTATCTGTCATTCTGCTTTAGGGAGATAATGCAAATAACTATACATTTGGTTGATTGTTCACATTATGGGGATTATGGATGCCATCAATTATATTAAATGCTTTTCTTATGTCAAGGCTTATGCTATTGTAAAGGATATATAAATGAACATATGTGAAACTATAATAATTGTGGTATATTTTGTGGAATATTTTTAAGTCATTTGTACAATATGCTGTGCCATGACTTTGGGTATTTCTCTCCTAACAAATCAATAATGTTTTAATACCAGTTATTTGGGTTTGGAAGGGATTGGCCTATACTGTATATCTGTTAACCAGCTGGCTGTAAGAATGGGATGAAGTTGTCATCTTCTGTCAGACTCCCTCAGGGTTAGACAGGAAGTCATTTCAGCTACTGTTCTGGGGTTTGAGGAGCAATATTGCTAACTATATCTAATTAGCTTTGGATCACACCCTGTTCTGATGAAACCGATAGAGTTCTTCCAGGGCAGCCTCACATTAGTGCTGCCAAACCCTCAATATGCAAAAAGATTCACCAGCTTGGTATGATGGTGAAATAAGAGATGTCTATCTGGTCACATGAGATTATGATGTTCTTAGAAGAAAGGCCTGCTTGTTAGTTTAGGGCAAAGTTTGGCAGCTAGCCTTCAGAACAATTTCTTGATTTTATCTTGATGGTATCTTTGCACTCAAGTACTTTTTCTTTTCTTTTTTTTTGTTTCTCTTGAGGTTCCCTCTGGTCTTTATCTTGATGGCATCTTTGCACTCAAGTACATTTTTTGTTTCTCTTGAGGTTCCCTCTGGTAAAGAGGAACGAGTAATTTTACTGTGCACCACAACAGCTGTCATTGTCTTAACTATAGAGGGTGAACATGTGTTAGCGGTGGTGAAAGAGGAGATGAGGAGCAACAAATAACAGGCCTGTAACCTTCCTGCCCAGGACCGAGAGATGAGGAGTAACAAATAACAGGCCTGTAACCTTCCTGCCTATCAATGTTGTGCAAAGTTGGGATCAGTCAAAAAGCATCACCCTCAGGCAGCTGTAAAGGATCGACTGGTACTGACCCTGTTGGTTTGAGTCCTCAAATGAGCCCCAAACAGCTGCCATTGGTTGTCCATGCTGCCCCAGAACATGATTCCGTCACTGTGACACATTGTGAGGAATTACACCTGCAGTTGCCATTGGTTGGTCCATGCTGCCTTAAAACACGATTCCTTCACTGTGACACATTGTGAGGAATTACACCACCAGTCACTCCTCAAAAGACCAATGCTAACAACCTTGTTCTCTTCCTCTGGTGAGCTCACGTGTTTGTTATCATGTTCAGGCAGAAGTAATTAAGAGGAGTAGTAGTCATCCTCTGTTGACAGGTGGGGACAGAGGAACAACAAATAGGCCTCATCTTGAGTTCCTCTTCTAACCCTGTGCTCTTTAGCCTTCATGCAAGGCCCTTCATACTTTTCTAGGCTTACTAAGATAAAGAGATATTGTGGCAAACCTGTAGGCATCCAGCAGAAGGAATCAGGGATGACAACTTCCAAAAAAGGAGAGTTAAGAGCTCTCTTTCCTTAACTCTGCTTTCCACAATTCTCACTCTCCCTTCTCTCACATACCAGGTTCATGGAGAGAGCTTCTCCACAGAAACAGGCACCAGAACAAGCAAAAAAGCTATAAATCGCAAGGCCCATGTATGGTCTTGCCCGCTTTAGAAACACCCTCTCTCCCTTCTGCATTGGTATTCATCTTGGAGCAGAAGGAGGTGATAGCACAACTGGGAAAAAAATCTAGGAAAAGGGCAGATCCTTTGACCTGATGGAACACTGGTTTCTCCCTACCCCGCACTTCCCAATATACAAGCCCAATCAAAAATAGGAGATTGTTACTCATCTGGCACAGATCAGAAGACATACAAGTTGGCAAACAAAACATGGATCACATGCTTAAAGACTCAGATGTTTCTTTACCCATAGATACACATACCCATATATGACCTTGAATGGGAAAACGAAGCAAACTGTGTAAACCTAGTTCCCGGGGAATCAGAAATGAAGGGGCAGGGCTTTCTGCTGAAAGAATAAGGTACTGGCTGAGAAAGGACAGATAAGTGGACCCCCATAGAGAAGAAGAGGAGTCTGAGTTAATGGTGAAATTCTAAATCAGTGGCCAAAATCCTGTTGCTTAGTATAGTAACTCACACTAGAGTAGCCCCATTGAATTGGTGGGGATTTGGTCAGTCAACTCCTCCATATGTTCCATTGATTCAAATGGGCCTACTCTAACTTTGATTTACTTTAGCATAGTTCCATTGATTCAAGGGGCCTATAATGTGATTCAATGTTCTAAGCAACAGGGTTTTATTTAGTGAGCAACTGCTGGACGTCCAAACTTGCTTTCCATTTCTTATTAATATTTAGCTTTTCAATGTTTTCTCTATCAATTTAACAACCATCAAGGGATTCCAGGATCAAGGTCTAAAACTGAGATGGAAATATAACCAAGCCTTACAGATAACGCCATAGCTGAGCTATGTTTTGAACTCCAAATACAGTAATTGACCCAATGGTCCACAGTGCATTAAGGGTGCTTTAGCTCTGAAGCTTCTTGACTTTGAGAGGGAGATGGAGTCACTTGACTTCTGGTGTTCCTCCCAAATATTTGTGTTTCTGCAATGGTATTTGCATGTTTTTTTTTTTTTAGGAACACATAAAAGAATCAGGAAAAAAAGACTTGAGTTAAATCTATATGATAGTGTGACTTTTCCACCCATCCTGCTATTCTCACTGGCATTCAGAAGTAGGTCCTCCAGATTCAGGTAGCAAATCTAGATTCCATGCCGTTTCAAAATCTGCCAACAATATTTTTCAGTTTACAAAAAAACCTAACACTTCAAAGAAGGTACAGTACCTCTAATTTGAAAGAAAGTAGGATCAGGCAATCTGTGAACCACCAGATATTGGGATTCCTAACAGCATAGCTAATGATGAGGGATGATATACACCCTAGTTCACAAACCTCTGAAGGGTCAGACATTGCTCCTCTTTGAGTTACAGAAATATAATCTCTATTACTACATTTTAATTTCCATCCTTAAGATGATGTTTAATATTCCAGTGCACAGATGCATCTTTACTATCAAACTATTGGAGTACAACATACAGAATTCCCTTCATTTTCATTGTTTACAGAGCATGTGGCTGTCTTTTTCCTGCTTTCATTGGGCAACCTCCAACTTGCACATTTACATGCCAGAGATCATGTAAAGCAGTGGTTCTTAACCTTTGTTACTCAGATGCTTTTGAACTGCAACTCCCAGAAACCCCAGTCAGGACAGCTGGTGGTGAAGGCTTCTGGGAGTTGCAGTCCAAAACTCCTGAGTAACCCAAGGTTAAGAACCAGTGATGTAAAGTACTGCATCTTTTGGACATGACACTCTGCACTTCCCTAACAGGATAGCAGCTATTGATTTTGATGGTCCGATTACAAGCATAACTATGTTTGGATTCAACCCAGTGTGTGGAGGGATAACCCAGATTGCCCTATTGGATCAAATTCTTGACCTCCACACATTAATCTAGAAGTCTCTGTGTAGGTTCTGTTCAATGTTTGGAAGTCAAGATCTGGCCCAGTTGACATCAGCCTTTCCCCGGTCTCACAAATTTCTTCTACACATATTTGTTGTTTGTATATTGGTTGTATAACTTGAATGAAAGGCTTGTAGATGACTCCCAAGTACATTTTCTTTTTCCTTTCCAGAAATCAGAAAAATGAAGACAGCCCTAGTCTTGCTCTGCCTTTTGGGAATAGCTTGTGCCTTCTCAGTGAGTAAAAATAACCGTTCTTTATTAAGCACAGGATGTACCGTGAGCATTCATTCGAATGATACAGAAGAGCTCCATTTCTTGCTTCTGCTTACTTGTGTGTTGTGATTGATGATAATGCTTTCTTTTTATTGGCTCTCAGTAGCCCTGAGCTCTTTTTATGTGAGCGGATGACCATTCATACTGTAGGTTCAGGCAAATAGTGCAAGGGGATCAATGAGATTTAGTGTCTACGGTACGGGCAAATAGGGCAAGGGGATCAATGAGATTTAGTGTCTACAGGCTGTAGGAGGAAAATGGTCCCTATAAAAGGAAGTGGCAGCTGTGAACCTCACTGGTTTATTATGAATGAATTTATTGCGAAATTCATAAGTAAGAACTCATTATATCAAATGTACCCAGAAAATGACTAAGGCGGTAGCTGGGAATAGCTAGCTTGATCGTAGTTCGTAAGAAAAAGAATCTCAGAATTGCAGTGTGTCACAAACAGCATGAATCAGGAGTGTGATATGCCTGTAATTTAGAAAAAGGAAGAAAAGCCGAAGAGATCTTAAGATGCCTTAATCATCATTATATGCCAATTTTAAAAAACTCAGTTCTTTGGGTGCAAGTCCAATTGTGGTCAAAACAGTAGCATCTGCATACAAGAGGGAGGTATCAGGAGGCATTTGAAAACACACACACACACCCCGATTTGCAGAAGTACACAAAATAATTTGGCCATGGAGCCCTAAGGCATGGAATCCTGAGATGCTCTGTTAGCATGGAATTCTGGCTCATTATTGGGTGCTAGAGAGGAAACCTGGTGGATAGAGGTATTCTGCAAGGAGAACAAACCTATCCATTCTAACGGAAATCAAGCCTGAGTGCTCACTGGATGGACAGATCCTGAAGCTGAGGCTCCAATACTTTGGCCATCTCATGAGAAGAGAAGACTCCCTGGAAAAGACCCTGATGTTGGGAAAGTGTGAAGGCAAGAGGAGAAGGGGATGACAGAGGACAAGATGGTTGGACAGTGTCACTGAAGCGACCAACATGAATTTGACCAAACTCTGGGAGGCAGTGGAAGACAGGAGGGCCTGGCATGCTCTGGTCCATGGGGTCAGGAAGACCCGGACACGACTTAGCGACTAAACAACAACAACAACAATATTGAATTGACTGCTGAGTGATGAGTCAACAAATAGGGAAAACCTGTTGATTGAATGGGAATCTAGTTGGGAATACCAGGCTTTAGGACTAAGTTTGGAAACTTTCCTTTTTTGGATTACAACTCCCAGAATCTCCCTGCAAGCACAGAGTCCTAAACCAGCAATTTCCCCAAGCTCTATTCAGGATTAAAACAGTGTGATCATGTGCATGAGCTTTAAAGCCACTAAATTCTCCACTGTGTCTTTTGTCTCCAGCATGTGCCTTTCATGCCAAGTTAGCTCTGCCAGCTGGTAGGAAGTTGAAAAGCTAAAAGATGGTAAAAGAAAAGAAAAATGCTAAAAGAAGACACTACTGTATGTCTTTTGGCAGTACATCTCTCTCATGCTCATGTCATGGAGTCATAATGAAAGATGAGGAAGTGGCAGTGGTGTGAGGAAAAGTGAATTGTGGGTTTTCAGTTCATGCTGTGAGATATACTCTCCAGTTCCCCACCCTGAGTCTCTAACCGGGAAATTTGTGGGCAGAAGGTGGGGAGAGAAGATCATGCAAGATATTGTTGTTTAGCATCAAAGGAGAAAGAACATGACAGCTATCATCATCACGGCCATTTTAGTACTGCACCTGATCTTTTTCACGCACAATCACTAGTATTGTTATGATACCTATTTATTATTTAATTTAATTTATATGCCACCCACACTACCCAAAGGTCTCTGGGTGGCTTACAACATTTAAATACAGTTAAGAAAGATAGAACAATTAAAATGCAGTTAGAATATAGTACTCTAAAAATTGCTATCAGGACCCACAGTCGATGGTAAGCTGCCATTCTCCTGACAAGGAATCATGTCATGGAGTCATAATGAAAGATGTGGAAGTGGCAGTGGAGTGAGGCAAAATGAATTGTGGGTTTTCAGTTTTTAAAAAAAGCTAAAGATCAACATCCAGGGACTCCATGAAAAGTTAAAAGCCTGCCTGAAGACGTGGGTCTTCCACGGTCGGCAGAAGGATGAAAGAGAGCTGGGGTAACCTAACCTCCCAAAGGACAGCATTCTACAATCTGGGTGCAGCCACAGAGAAGGCCCTCTCTTGTGTCCCCAGCACACATGCCTGCAATGGCAATGGGACAAGGAGGAAGGCCTCCTCTGAAGACCTAAGGGCTGGGCAGTCTCATAGAGGGAAATACAGTACACTCTTCCAGATAGCTTGGCCCCAAACCATATGGGGTCGATGGTAAGCTGCCATTCTCCTGACAAGGAGTCTCAAGTAGCTCACAATGTTAAATAAAATTAAAAACCACAATAAATTATACAACTTTTTTTAAAAAAAGCTAAAGATCAACATCCAGGGACTCCATGAAAAGTTAAAAGCCTGCCTGAAGACGTGGGTCTTCCACGGTCGGCAGAAGGATGAAAGAGAGCTGGGGTAACCTAACCTCACAAGGGAGAGCATTCTACAACCTGGATGCAGCCACAGAGAAGGCCCTGTCTTGTTTTCCCATCACACATGCCTGCAATGGCAATGGGACTAAGAGGAAGGCCTCCTCTGAAGACCTAAGGGCTGGGCAGTCTCATAGAGGGAAATACAGTACACTCTTCCAGATAGCTTGGCCCCAAACCATATGGGGTTTTATAGGAAATAACCGCCCAGAGTAGACCTTTGGTCTAGATCGGCGGGATAGGAATCCAATCAATCAATCAATCAATCAATCAATCAATCAATCAACCAACCAAACAACCAAACAACCAAACAACCAAACAACCAAACAAACAACCAAACAAACAACCAAACAAACAACCAAACAAACAACCAATCCAGTAATAGAGTGGTAGCCAGTGCAGTTGCTGTAACAGGGGCATTATATGCTCCCTATAACTGGCCCTCGTCGGCTGTGTGGCAGGTGCATTGCAAACCAGCTGAAGTTTCCAAACTGTCTTCCAAACTCTCCACAGAGAGCACATTACAATAAACCAAATACAATGTAACTAAGCCATGTGCCCCTGTACCTGAATCACACATCTCAAAGAATGGGCACAGCTGTCACACCAGCTTTAACTGTACAAATGTACTCTTGGCCTCTGCCAAAACCTAGGCATCCAGGCTCAGAGAAGAGTCCAGGAGCACACCCAAGCTATGGGCCTGAGTTTTCAGGGGGAGTGTAACCCCGTCCAGCACAGGGTGCATCCCTATTCCCTCATCTGCTTTTTGATTGACCAGGAACACCTCAGTCTTGTACGAATTGAATTTCATTTTATTTGCCCTCATCTAGCCCGTTACCCATACAGGACATCAGTTTATAACTGAGGCAGCTTCCTTGGAATTTGATGGAAAGGAGAGATAGTGCTGGGTATCATCAGCATTCCAGTAAGACTGAACTAAGGACAAACTCTTCAGGGGTTTCATTTAGATATTAAAAACCATGGGGGGAAAAAACAGAACTCTGGGAAATGTCACAGGACAATGGCCAGGGCTTTGAACAGGAGTTCCCTGTTCTCCCTTCCAGGAAGGAACAGAACTGCTGGAAATCAATGCCTCCAAGTCCCATCCCAGAGAGACAGCCTTGGAGGATACCATCTCAGATCATATCAAAAACCACTGAAGGTCTAGCAGAACCAATAGGGACACACTCCCCCATCAAGTTCCCTGCCCAGAAATGGAAGACGAAGAACGGGTTTGCACTATTACAGCCCTGCAATGATCCGTATTCCAACGTAACGTTTTAGTGATTTGTTAATTCACAAAAATAAAAACTATTTACTACAGTCTGGAATAATTCCTTTCTCTTGCAGCATTGCTACTCCTGCCTGAAGTCCATGCACTTCTATCTTCTCAGCTGCTGCTCTGTCTAGATAGTTTCTTCCAGAAACAGAGGAGTCCACTATAGATTAGTGGTTTCCAACGTTGGGTCCCCAGATGTTCTTGGACTGCAACTCCCAGAAATTCAGGCCAGCACAGTTAGTGGTGAAGGCTTCTGGGAGTTGCAGTCCAAGAACATCTGGGACCCAAGGTTGGGAACCACTAGTTTAGATAACAATGAGCCAGTGTTCTTTGTTTAGCAGATGTTTCTGCCCTACAGATATTCTGCCACTAGGTGTCATTTAAGCCACCTTTGGTCCCTGCACAGAGAGAAAGGTGAAAATGTGAAGTAAACAAATGAATAAGGAAACCTTCTTGACCTTTTGAGGTTTTGATCCTACCTATCGCTTTGTCTCTCTGTCTCTTGAAGTTAATGTAGAAACAAACAACACGTTAACAGCAGGACCAGACAAAATACAAGTATAAGAGCACAAGCCAAATAAGTATGTAGGAAATATCCCTGTAAGAAGAAGGATACATTTTTCAGCATCCGAACACACAGTTCTGTGCTCAGACTCAAGTAAACAGTTACAGAAAAAGAATCAAATCTACCCTAATAATCCCATATGTTCTTACAGGCAAAAAACTTCCAAAGAAGATTTAAGGCAGAGGACTCAGAAGAAAATGCAGTAAGTTGTCATCTTAATTGTTAGAGAAAATTAAACATATGCATCTTTTCTCCAATTTAACAAATGCAAATCCCCCCCCCCCGCTTTTTGACAGGTATTCAAGAACAGATATAGATATTTTCTTCATAGATATCCCTATCACTACCCATCTATGAAAAGATTTCAGGTAAGTGCATTTCCTTTAGATAAATTTAAATAAATTCCAAAGTGAAATCTTTTAAAAGCATCAATACAGATTTCTGAAATATGAAACAAAGATAAATTTGAAGTTGAGCTAAAGGGTCTTTAATTCCTAACTAGTGGTTGTATAACTACTAAAAGATCATGGCATGTTATACCTATATGCAATCACCCAGAAATTACATTCTATGGCTGGAATCCTGTTGCATAACCTTATGCCACATAACTCTCATGATGTCACCAACTGTGGCAATTTCAAGGGAATTAAAAGTTTCTGGTCCCCATCTGCAGATATGGAGATCCTTAAAGATCACTTTCCTCTTGGAGAAGCCCTCCCTTTCTCTTCCTAGCAGCAATTTTCAGGTATTAAAGAATTTGCTCTCCCATTCTGTGGCTCCTAAAGTCTTCCCTGGGATGAAGGGGATCCTTAGGAATAGAAAACTTAATTTTCTTGATATAGCTATGAGCTCTTTCTTTCTTTCTTTCTTTCTTTCTTTCTTTCTTTCTTTCTTTCTTTCTTTCTTTCTTTCTTTCTTTCTTTCT